ATAAATGACGATTTCATTGAGGTATAAAGAGCTTGCTGTCACGCTTTCTGCAAATGAATGTTTATTGCTCAAGAAGACGTTTTTAGGTTCGAGTTGCGGTTGTAGGAAATGTGGATGCAGGAAAATCTACTTTGCTTGGAGTATTAACCCATAGTGTCCTTGACGATGGAAGGGGGTTGGCGAGAACAAAATTGTTCAGGTATTTTCTACAGTTCTTTGTGTTTAAGGGCGAAGCGAACTTTCATTTCCACCTACTAGTATAGTGTCTTCTTAGACATAAACACGAGTTTGAATCTGGTCGAACATCATCTGTTGGTAACGATATTCTTGGCTTTGATGTTCATGGCAATGTCGTTAACAAGCCGGATAAACATAATAACAACCTTGACTGGGTGCAGATTAGCCGAGACTGCAGTAAGGTGTGAAGAAATTTTGTCTTTATTTGGTTATTTTCCCCTCAATCCCATGGTTTTTAGTGGTTATGATATTTTAGTTAATAACCTTCATCGATCTAGCTGGACACGAGAAATACCTTAAAACTACGATTTTCGGAATGACAGGACATATGCCTGATTACACCATGCTTATGGTAGTCTAATGTTCTTATACTGTATATTTCCTTGTCGATATCTAATTATTTGTCTCTTTCTTGAGGTCGGTGCAAATATGGGTATAATTGGCACAACGAAGGAGCATTTGTCGTTGGCGCTTTCATTATCAGTACCAGTATTTATTGTGGTAAGTTTTCTTCCAAATGATGCTGTTACGAACTATGTTCACAAGTCTCTAAGGAAGCATAAATGTTAACTTGAAAAAGTGGATCTCAAGTTCATTGAGCATGAAGTTGTTTTTTTCGCTTGGGCATATGAAAAGATTGTTAATTGAAATTACAAATAAGAATCAAAAGATTCAAATGCTAGAAACAAGTCCTAGTTTCCACTCTCAAAATCTGAGGAGTCTTATCATTTTAAATATTACAAATAGACAAAAGACTTCACCAGAGGCGAACTTCACACTTTTTTCTTCTTTCTTTAGGAAAGGTTTTTTAAAAATTTTCTTTCGTGGTTAGTTCTTTACTGAATCATTTTGATATGCAAAAACCGAACAAATAGGGGAAACTTTTTTGAATCAGCGTGTGTATTTTATGCCATCATTTTCATCTCAATATTTTACTTTAAGTAAAGACTGCAGGTTGTGTGTTACCCGAAAATTATCTTGCAGTTTTGATGTTCATCTTGCAGTAATGGTGCGTAATAGTTC